TTAATTTATATTTATTTATAATAAATACTTGATCTTACTTAATGCTAGGTTTGACTGATGACAGTTTGTGAAGAACTGAAATCTATCAACTGATGTCAACTGTCTACTTAAAGGCTTTAATAATTTACTGCCAATCCTTAGACAATACTATATATATTTGCACTTATCTCTCATAAGTTTCAAAAAATTAAATTGGAGTCGCAGCGCATGTGGAAAGCAAGCCACAGTCACGTAATAATATAAATTGTTTATTTGGCAGCTCATGTGGTCTTACCTGCAGGTAATCTGTAGCTCAAAATACACGGAAATAAAACGTTTTTAATTTTAGCTAAATATTAACTGTAACCATAACCTCAATTTACAAAAACACTAAACATTTTATGAAATTGCATAATGCGATTAAGGATGAGCTTTTAGTGAATTATGGTTGAGAGCTCAAAGCCAATTTGGATCGGTTGCATATTGCTTGGCAGTGATGTTTATTAAAATTCAAAGCAGCTGCACTTTTGATAGCTCGTAAAAAACTCCAGCGAAATTAGTTATAAATCAGCAAAGCGGACATACACACATATATATATATATATGTATGTATATGTATATCTGTGTGTATACAGGATTGACTCAGCTGGCGCAACTTTTTAAGCTAAAATGAAGCCATAAATTATACGAACTAATAATTATATGCCATCAAATTGTTGTAAGCCAAAGCTAAAGCTAAAGCCAAAGCAAAAGCAAAAGCAAAAGCCAGGCCAAGCGAAGCCGGCAGCCAGTTTAACGGCCAACATAAATTATAGACATTTAAAATGGGGCGAGCGGCGTGGCGTAGAATATGCGATTTTTATCACAGTTTATGCACTGCACACACAAAGTTAACATAATAAGGTCAACACGCACAGGATGTGGCAAAAAGGGAGTGCTGGCGCCTGATAAGGGCGTGGTGCGTGGGCGTTGCTTTAATTAAACGGCAAACAGTGCCCAACATCCAACATCCAGCATCTCGCCTTCGCATCAGAGAGCAAAGTTCGAGGTCAGGCCGTGTGGCCCTGCGACCGTGTGGCGCGTGGCCGTGAGGCTGGGCCATTTCGTTCCTCTTTTTTACAGTCGAGCAATTTGCAACAAAATTAGCCGAAAAACATTGCTCCAGCTAGGCCGTGCTCATTGAGAATTAGCCAGGCAGCGGCCAATGAGGCAGCGTAAACAAAAGATTGGGTTAAGCCTGAGTCTTGTCTGAGTGTGCTCGTGTGTGTGTGTGTGCTTGTGTGTGCTTGTGTTGGAGAGCACGACTCGCAATGACATCTGTCAAAGTATCTATGGCATTCCAAGTGACTAAGAGCCAATGGCTCTGGTCGCTTTGACGAATGCGCTGTTGCTGCCGCCTTTAATATCAGCTGCCTCCTGCTGGTCATAAAGTGTGTAGAATGCTCAACGCACTTAGCATCAGCAACAACAACAACAATAACAACAACAACAACCAAAGCATTTAAATTTTGTAATTTAAATGCAAATTGACAGGCAAATGACAAGCATTGCAATTAACGAGGGACTAGCGGGCATATACGCAATGCCTGCACACTCATTGGCACAGCGCCGAGCACGAAGCACGAAGCACGAAGCACGGAGCACAAAACGGATCTAAAAATATTAGCACATTGCCACAAAAGATGGCTGAGACCATAACAGCTATGCGGCACATAATTTAAGCATTGCCCAATTATTCTTTCCGCTAGACAGGGAAACCTTAACAAGAATCATGCAAATCTCAATTAGTTGCAGGAATTGCCGCAATTGCCCGCTGTATGACGAAATATAAATTCATCGTTGTTTTCGTCACGTTTATTCAACTTAGATTAGTTTTCCATCTTTCCTTTTCTGATTCCTAGTCTGTATCTTATTTATTTTTTTTTTTTTTAAATAATAATTTTGTTTTATTGATCTATTTAAGCTTA